CCCCCCCTTCCCCTTGTTTTCTTTTGGGCTGCAACGATGTTGAGTTGGTGGAAGATTTGCTAACTTTCATTTTGTGTAGGCGATGGTTGACGCATTCCATCTCAGACTATTACGGTCTCCAGTCCCACTCCGTCACCACCGGCGAACCGGCCCGCCGGGTCGTGTACGTGACGGTGCGAGAGCCGAATCAGCGCTCAAGTCCGAAGAAGCATACAGGCTTACCCCGCCCCCTGTGGGAGATGTGCTGAGCTTTCCACTTAGCCGCAGTATCTCCTTTTCTGCATGGTATCACTTTTTGTTCAGCATGATACAGTTTTTCTAGGGACGCGCATTCCCTGCCGTTTGATGGGGCCTTTCGGGCGTTGGAAGGGAGGACGTTTATTGGGGTGGTATGTGCTATTCTGTCCATCCAGCAGGCGTCTGTAAAATAGCTTCAAACTCGACGATAAGCACCCTTTCCTCCAAGCCTGAGAGGTCTCGGAGCTTGGCGGGGTGGAAGAGTAAAGATACATCAAAGAGGTTTGATGGTACCGGTATAGATATACACCCACTCAACGTGGCATTGGCTTCCTATGGACAGATTTCCAATCCATTTTCTCCCCTCATATGAGTGGAGGGGACCAGGGGTTAACCTCGTGCGTGTAGCTTGAACGTGGAGCTGGCGGATGCTACGGCTACAAGTGCAAGCTGGCACCGCTCATGCAAACAGCGATGTACACGCTGAAAATGATGCCATGACCACAAATTTGGCGCAAATCCAAGAGAACAAGGAGGGAACGCAGGAAGCCGCTGCCAATGTGCATTGCAATGTTCACTTCAAGGTTAAGGTTTATTAGTATTCTTATTAGTATTCCTCGGTTTCGTTTTCGGTCCATCTTCGTGCCCCCGCGGATTCCACGTTGAAGATAATCATTTACTTCAAGTGCACATACTTGGCAATGGAAATGGGAGTGACAAGTTGCTACCTCGTGAGATGCATTATTACCAATCAAAAACACGTAGATGACTCGCTAGGCACGTGTCACACAAGTAGTTTCCTTTGCGTACGGAAATCGAGGTTTCCTCATGACTAAATTAATTACCAATGTCAATGATGAGGAAAGTGAGGAGCTGTCTAATGATGCCTCAGTCGTCCGTGGCATTGTAATTCTTGTGCGGATCGCCGATGCCGCCAGGACGCAGCAAGGGTCTCGTCTCCCGCTCGACCTGCCGCTCCTCTCTGTCTTGTAACCGCTCCAACTCCTCCTCTGTATCGGCGTACCGTTCGGGATGGGCCGTGTAGGGGCCTGGGAGACCCTGCTCCCAACCCTCCGAATACGTTCTGCTTGGGTTGGGACGTCTCGGCTCGTCGATGAGGGTGGGAGACTGTGGCTCTCCGTGGTGGTTCTGGAATTCGTAGTATATGGCCATGGCAAGAAGAATGCCTTGTATTGATGCAGTGAGGATGAAGACGCCCCACGTGCTCCATCCCTCCCAGCCCAGGCGGGCAAACAGGCTTCCAGCGAAAAGGAAGCCACCTGGGGTCTGGATGCACATCATTGGGATGCTCAAGCTGCCGACGTGCTTGATGTGGTAGGTCGTCCAGATCTGCGGAATGTACTGCACCGTGGCGAGCGTGGCAGACATGATACCGAGGAAATTTGCCCACGAGTCGAGGTGATCTCTTAGTACGGTGGTGAAGACCACAGTCAGGATAATAACGAGCAGGCCGTGGATCAAGCATACGGAACCGACCATTATGGCAGTATGCCACGACGGCGGCTTATCGACCAGCTCCTCATCGGGGATGGCGGCATCGTCGTATCGGAAGAAGATGAGAAATAGGACGAGGCTGTCACAGGCAGGTGTTAGTGCGTGTCATGGGTAAAGAAACACGGGAGGGGAAGCCCACATCAACGCAAAGGAGATCCATTGCATGCCCAGCTGGGCGATGCCGAGCAGACCAGCAGCACACTCAAACGTGCCCAATTCGCTACAACAGGCGATGTCGCGTCTCGAGGGCGGAACGGTCAAGATATTGGCAAAGCCGGCAGTGGCGGACGTGACACCCAGCAAGACGAACCATGGCGAGATGCCTTCCGAGGTACCTCTGGCGATGATGCGGTAGTGCTGCGGCAGGTACGAGACAACGAGACCGATGAGGATGATGCTGGACAGAAGGAATTAGCTGGTGCTCGGCGTATTGCAAGGGCCCCCCCGCAATGGTTGACTCACATGGAAATTGTCAGGTTGAGGAAGCCAGGAGCGCGAAGCTCGGCGCAGCGGTCGTCGAAAATTGTCACAACCATACTTGGTAGAAAGACCGTCCGTGGTATGGTGGTTTGCAGGTGTTGGTTCACAGGATGTAGCTCCTTTGAAGCAGGTTGCAATGAACAGCAGCTCTTTCTCGGGTATCACCGTAGGCGGGTTGACGGTCGCGTCGCAAAGGTGAGATGACGGAGGTCCCGGGGCCCAAGGCAAAGCGACAAGACGGAAGAGGAAGCAGAGTTAGATGTGCATTGCGTAGTCGTCGGAAGAGCAGGAATAAGTAGTCGCGGAACTCTAGGATCGCCTTTGCTTCGCTCCTGTCGGCGATTCGGTGATTTGGGTGGGGATGGAGCCGAAATGACTGAGCAATCGTCGAGAGATGAAGGAGACGTGACGATGGAGTCGTTGGCAGCGAAGATGGGCGCAAGAGAGTCCGGCCCCCGGCGACTTGGCTGCAAGTTGCGGTGGAATTGGGTGGAGGTAGCCTGCTTGGCCTGGAAGAGAGGATGAGTCGACCAGCCACGAATCGAGAGAATGTCTCCAAGGTCTCACCTGCTGAGATCCGCAGTGGATGGGCCTTTGTGTGTCAGAAGGTGAGTCGGAGCTGTCGAGTCGAGCTGTCGAGTCTGCTGGATTGGTTATGGTTGGGTCAAGTGCTTAAAAGGAATTAAGTCCGGCACCCGCGGGGCTGGAGATTGGGTGTGACTCTGCTGCGGTTTGGGGACGGGAGGGAAAGGGAAACGGGAGCCACATTGGCGACTGAGTAGAGGAGTAGGTAGGTACGGAACGCATAGAACAGTGGTCACTGGTGAGTGCCCTGGGCTGCAAAATTCATGTCCCAGGCAGGCTGCAGTGGAGTGCCGGTGAGGTGCGGCATTGCAGGCGGCAAGTCCCTCGCCAATCAGCGCTAGGACCAGGAACCTGCATCGCTAGCTTCCCCCATGACGTCGCTGTCTTAGTGGCCCGTCTTCGCTGTGCGCCGAGTCTGCCCTGGCTGAAACGCAAGAGCATTGCTTACCTAACGATGCGGAAGGCAGGTAGGTGCCTTTTGGATTTCTACCGCAGTGTTTGCCCTGGAGAAGCACAGAAGGAAGGTCTGGTTACCGACTCGGTCAATGGGCCACAAAAGGACATGACCTTCACCTGCATACCCACTTGGTCGGTGAAGGAGATGGTGAGCCAACTTGGGCCGCGGGCGAAGGTGCAAAGAAGGGTGCCTTACCGAACTTGTCTCCACACTGCCAAGGTCACGGCAGAAAGTGCAGATGTAGCGCTGCAATCTTTCGCTTGCCGCAGATCCAAGGCAAAGACGATGCAACGCCCCAGGGCCAGGCATCACCGCATCTCTTCTCAACACCACCAACACTCGCCAACGCGAGCCGGAGAGCACCCCATCCCTACCTTGGCATTCCTTTGCGTCCTTCTTAGTTCTCAACGGCAAATATCTGCACATAGCGCCCTATTTGGTTTTCTGACCACCACTGCGATCTTCACGCCTGCAGAATCTTGATTCTTCAACGGGCTGTGCGATCCAGCCTCACTTTTCATCGCCAATCACACTCGGCACCGAGTAATGCTAGTGCATCCCGATCATCGCCCGCCCGCCAGCCGTGAGCAACAATGCATCCCGCGGCGGAAAGCAAGGATGCAGACCCTGTGCAGCACTCCGACCCAGCAAACTCAGCCGAGGATTCCTCTCATTCCTCCGCCCCATCCATGGACCTTGTAGCTTCCACCGAGATAGCCGCTGGAGGTCCTAATGCACCTGGAAAGCACATGAGCTTCTTCCGCGGAGTTCAATGGACTCCTGACGGCACTACGCTGATCGCCTCAACGTCGGACAACCGGCTATCGGCCTACGTGCTACCGGCAGACCTCCTCGACCCCAATGGCCGGCCCCGGCTGTTGACACCGCAGGGCCAACTGCAGCTTCCGGAGCCCTTCTACTCGGCGGCCGTGTCACCCTACTTCTCCTTGGCCGACCCGCAAACCCAGCTTGCACTTCTCGGCTGCAAAGACCACCCTATTCAGCTCTACCACGTCTTTGCAGACTCACAGTCTTCGCCTCCACTGTGTTCCTACAAGCTCATTCGGCGGGAGACGGAGGAATATATCTGCCCCGAGTCCCTCTTGTGGTCCTGGCCTGGGACCCATTTCCTAGCCGGCTCAACGAACCGCCTCGACCACTTTGACGTATCACGGACCGGCTCTGATGGTCCCATCTTGACCATCCCTACCATTCCCTCCAAGCGGCATCTTCTCAAAGGTGGCGGCGTTGGCATGAAAGGAATGGTCTCTGCGCTGTCAAGCCAGCACCCGGACGAGGCTGGGGCTTCCATCGTCGCCGCGGGCACCTGGTCCCGCTGGATGGGTCTATACGACGTGACTCGCACAAATAAAGCAGTTGCGAATTGGAGCATTCAGGGCGTTGCCAAGTCTCACTTCGGCCGAGATAATGGGGGTAACGGCATTGTCCAAACTATATGGAGCCCTTGTGGACGCTATCTGGCCGTCAACGAGCGCCAAGCAAACGGCATTCTTATTTACGACGTGCGAGGGACTGGCCAGCCTCTGAGCCTCCTCGTTGGCCGGACATCCACCAACCAACAACGACTGTCATGTGATGTCTTCCCTGAGAGCGGTGACTCGGCCGGTGGTTTCGAGCTCTGGGCGGGGACGCAGACTGGGGAGGTTCTTGTGTATGAAGCCGTCGGTTGCGTAGACGGCGTTCATGAAAAGTCATGGGATTGGGCCGCGCATCAGTCACCCATTGGCAGCTCAGGGGTCCACCCCACGGGATCGGTAATCGCCACTTGCTCTGGTGGATGGACCAGCCACGGCGATGCTGAGTTGGATGATGGCCTGGGTGCCACGGGCAACGACGGCCAGCCTCGTCTGGCATCAACGTGCATCACTACTGAATCTTCACTCAAAGTCTGGACGTTGGCACAAAATGCACTGGATCAGTCTGCTAATAACCCAGTGGCCTCGTGAGCAGGTTTGAGACAGCTTACCTTCCATCTGTAGTACCCACAGGGCCTCGAGCAGACGCCGATTGCTCTCGAAACATTAGGTCTCAACCCCTCAAGCCATTCAAGTGCTCATGATACCCCCGCCGGCTACAGTGCTGCGTCTTAGTTCCAGGCCTCGGAAATACGCGCAAATTAGACGCACCATACGCACCTTATGAGGTGGAACCTGCACTCTTTACGACAGAAGATGGTGTTTCTGGTCTGGCTACACTAGCCCGAAGGTGCTCATCTTGTGACGATTTCGGTTGCTGTGATACGGGGCTAATTTCTTCCTTGCAATGGCCGGATCAGCGGCTCGATCCGTAGCTGAATCAGGCCGAATCTGGCCGAGGTCGCAACACGCGAGTTGAAGGACAACATAATTTCGGATGGCTGTGGTCAAGATCTACGAGTTGCCCACAAATGCATTCCTATGCAGGGTTTGCTGCAGATGTTGGTTAAGCACACTGCATATCCACGTCGCCCTCTGCAGACTCGGTGTTGCCGATGATGAAAGGGAGCGTCGAATCTCAGAGTCATCCGAACTACACTGTTTCTCTAGACTTTTCAACCATACGGATCGAACACTGCCCGTTGAATCAGATGGAATTCGGCAAGTGGAGTGTGGACGTGGGAACTGGCCCAGGCCGTGTTGTGGGAGGGACCGAAAGACGAACCGCGGGTGTCTAAACCAAAAGTCGACTGCACATCGTGAGGACAGCTTGTGCCTCGCATACCCGAGCTGATGTCAGCGGATATCAAGACCATACGCATGAGGAGACCGAAGAATAGGCTTCACATGCCATCGTATTCTTATCCATGCGAAATCTCTTCGGCCGAACGGGTAACATCAGCAGATCCAATTCAACAAGTGTCGTCATCGCCAACCTGGCCGGCCGGCCGACGACACATAGACTGAGCAAACAATAATTCAGCTGAGTTCTGCAAGCCAACATCACAATGTTGCCGTCCTCTTGACTTTGGGGGAGATTGTTCGTTCCTAACGGGTTGTGTCACACGGACCGTCAAGGCTCTCAAACACAACTTTCTCTGTCTGACTTGAACGGTGCCAGGACCAAGCGTTCTCTCGCCATTAAACTATTTCCCGTCCTGGACACCAGCGTCCCTGGCTAGCATGGCCCACGTAGCAGCCTTAGTCCGACGGCTACGAGAAATTTCGGATGAGCAACAGGTTCCCGTTGTTCAAATTCCTTTTGGTCGGAATCGCGAAGCTCCCCGTTGGCTTTTTGCACTGACCGCTCTATCAACGGCCGTGCCAGTTTCCTTTCCTGGCTCCATTGCTCTACGCGAGAGAAGAGGCAACGGTCACACTTCGATCGCCATCAGATCCCACAAAATAAGGTAGAAAGGTTGAGGTCCTTATGGCGGGGCCATTAAACGAAACAGCCCCGCCGGTGGACTGGACACGATCACCAAAAACGATGGAACCGACAGCGTGAATGCCCCTCATTCAAGCTATGTGGATCTGCGGAGCGCTTTTCGGGATTTCTGTTCGAATTCAATATCCAGTACCAACAACTGTGCCGGCCAAAAGCAAAACGTTGATTTCCCCGACGAGGAATTTGCTTTGATCGTCGCTGCCGCGGGGCACGTCTCAGAGATATGTAACATGGACGGACTTGAATGACCAAGTGTGCAGCTACTCCATCTGCATCTACTCATATCAGGAGTCGGACTTGGGATTCTGCTATCCTAGCGGCCGGCTGTCCATGAGCCGGAAGTCAAAGAAGCTTTTTAGAACATTCCGTAACGCATTCCGACTGAATTCTCTCCCATAAATACAATCGACGATGCCAATCGCTTTTATGGCGGTATCCTGGGCCAGCACTGCATCTCTCGCTTCCAGCTCTACCATCTTTCGCTTCCATTACAAGCAGTCCTGACCTTCGGGCGGGGTTCGATTCGTTCCAGTCGTTTGTCTCTCTTACTCTTTGTTTCTTGTAGTGGGACTCGGACCCTTGCAATCATGAAGACTGCGTCTCTTATTATTGCCGCCCTGGCCGGCGTCGCGATCGCTCGCCCTGGCATGGACATCGACAAGATGATGGCCGATGCCCAGCTCGAGGCTCGCCAAGCTGATGGAGGCGGCCCTTCGACGGAGCTCATTGGTGACCTTGCCACACTTCGGAGCCGCGAACTCACCGCGACTGGACAGGCTATCAAAGACATTTTGACTGCTGAGGCTCCCGGTCAAGACCTGAAGAGCTTCTACGATGACTCGGATCTTCCTCCCAAGAACTCGGCAGAGTGCAGACAAGATGAGTGCTGCATCTGGAAGCACATTGCCGACGACTTGGCCTCGCAGATGGTGGGCAACGCCGGTCGCTGCAACAGTGTCGCCCGCGGTGCCATCCGCCTCGGCTTCCATGACGCGGCGGCTTGGTCTAAGTCCACCGGCGGTACTGGCGCCGATGGCTCCATCATCCTCGCCAACGAGTGCAAGACGCGCTCCGACAACAAGGGCCTCGAGGAAATCTGCGATACGATGGCTGGCTGGTTTGCCAAATACAAAAAGTACAAGATTTCGATGGCCGATCTCATCCAGACTGCTTCCAATGTCGCCACGGTCTCCTGCCCCTTGGGACCCCGCGTCCGTACCTTTGTCGGCCGCAAGGACTCGTCGACGCCCGCTGTCAAGAGATTAATTCCGGATCAGTCTGACAGCTCCGCCAAGCTCTTCAAGCTCTTTGCAGACAAGTCCTTCACGCCGGCGGGCCTCGTGGCTCTGTTGGGTGCGCACAGCACCAGCCAGCAGCGCTTCGTTGATCCCTCGCGCGCCGATTCACCCCAGGACAGTACGCCAGGAACCTGGGATAACGCGTTCTACCAGCAGACGCTCAACCCCAATGCTCCGCCCGCCGTCTTCAAGTTCCAGAGCGACATCAATGTATCACAAGATCCGCGCACCAATGGCGTCTGGAAGGCATTCGCAGCGGGGCCGCACGGACAACTCATGTGGAATGAGGTAAGTTTTTCTCCCCCGGCGTCACACGTTCATCCCATCGCAATAGACTTCCCAGGCTAACAACCTAAACCTTAGGCGTATGCGAGCGAGTATGTACGCATGTCTCTCCTCGGCGTCAACAACATCAACGACTTGACCGAGTGCACCAAGGCCCTCCCACCTTTCCGCCCGGCTTTCCAGCAGCCTGACGAGGATCTACTGACCCAGGTCATGGGAAGCGTCATCAACTCCGACGCCATCAAGCAAGCTCTCGAAAGGGGTGACAAGATTCCCCCCAACGCCGTGTAGACTACCAAGGTAGCAGCGAGGATAATAGTGGCATATTTTACTGCAAAAAGAGCGTACATAATATTTCAAGGCCTTTCATCTTTTCCCTTTCTCCAAACCACTATTTGTACCATATTATTACATGTAAAACAGGGCCAAGGCGTTCGCGGTGTTATATGCATAGACCACCAAAAAAGAGTCACGACTTACATGGGCCGAGGCTGGCCTCAACCTGGCGGGCGTGGACCAAGACTAGCAGCATTCCGGCGCAGGGGCTGTAGGGAGCATAATCTTTGTTTTTCTTGGAATAATTAGTATTTCACTTGTATAATATATCTATTTCTCTCATTAAGTTTCCTTAGACATTAGAATAATCAGCAACACAACTCTTTGTAACCTGTCTCTGCTCTTGGTCTTCTCGGCATCATAAAAAACATTGTGGACGTCTGACACGGTTCTCTCTCTGGGCAGTTCCGTCTTCGGCGGACCGATAATGAGACGTGAGGTCTGATTTAGATCACCTGGTGCCCAAGCCGACATGCAAAACCCCTTCGCCCGAGCGAACCGATCGTCTTCTGCAGCGAGGCTTAATCGCACGCGCCACGCAGGCTCGACGCAAGGTACGGTATGTACGATCCCCTCCACAACTGTACCTTTTTCCCACCACGCTCAAATCCATCCGAACACTCTGCAGATGGGTTCGCCAGCTTCCGAACGCCCTACCCTTGCAGCGACTCAGCTTCAGCCCAGACGCGCACTGATTCTGTCCACCAGACTTTGGCGGGCACCACTACTACCAAGAAAGCCCTTGAGCGTATTCGCTCTCTCCGAAGGGCTCATTCTCAGGAAGCGCACGAGCGTCTGGTCTTTGTAGTAGCCGCCCTCGCGGCCGTCGTCGCCGTCGCTGTCGCCGTCGCCGTTTATTACTGGATGCATTCCCTTGACGACTGCGAGAGTGACCTGGGCCGCGTACATGTTGAAGCCGGCGCGTCTGAGAAAGACTTCCCATTCCGTCTCTTCCGGCATGATGATTTGCTGCACGTCGTGGGAAGCTTCCTTCAGGTGCGTCGAGACGAGCGCGCACGTCCATTGGGCTAGCGTCTGTTGGCCGCCGGCCACGTATACCACCCTTACGCTGTAGCCGTCGCCGTTGCTGTTGTCGTTGTTGTTTCCAAGAGAGAATGCGAAAACGACAAAGGAGGCGTATGACTCGGCGTCGGCTCCGCGGAGCGGCCCGATGTGTTCGGTGGTGGGGTTGTCCTGCGAGACCAAGACTATTAGTTGTTCGTACAGCGGTGCGACTTTTGTTACGCGCTCGCGGAGTTGAGAGAGTTGCGTCTTAGACCCTGGGAGCGGCTTCTGTCGGACCTTGAGGACTGTTGTGAGGATAATTCCTGTTACTGGGGACGGGATGATGTCGGCTTCGTAGGATAAGGAGGATTGTCTCTCTACAGTCTTGGTACTGCCAGGTGACCAGACGCGGGTGTTGTGCCGTGAGAAGTCTCGATCTACGAGATCGATACCTGGTAGCTTGGCTTGGAGGGCTGACATGATTCCTCGCGGCAGGGCGGTGGAGATGATGATGCGCGAGGGGCCGTCCAGATTCTTGACGGCTGGGACAGGAGCATCGACGGGTTTCTCCTGAGTTCTCGGCTGCGATGTGATGGGCTTGGATGACGCCTGCCCAACGGGGTGCTCTGAGGCATTTGTAATCATTCGCTTCGTGGTTGGGAACAGCGGATCGATCGGGCTTTTGGTTCGCTTGGCGCGTCGCAAGTTCATGTAGTTCGCTAGCAGTTTCCCCGCGGCGTTGCTCTCGTTCTCGCTGAGTAGCAATCCTTGTCCGAGGATCTTTGCTGCCTTTGACTGTTGACCGGTTCGACGGTACTTGAAGCCCACAGAGGGTGACCCCTGATCTCCGGAATCTTCTCTGCCGATTTGTTCTTGTTTTCGTTTTCGAATAAGCTCCATGATATCTTCCTTTGGATCAAGCGAGGCTCTGAATTGCGAGCTGCCCAGAACATCGTCCTCGTCACAAGGAAGCGGTAGCTCGTCGTCGTCATAGTCGGAACGCAACACCTTGAGGGTATGCCTTTGACCCACGTAATCAGCGCTTGTGGGGAGTGCTGTAGATCTTCGTCCTTCAAGTAGATTCTGCAGGACTTTGTTGTCTCCGACGGACTCCTTGACATTTGTGAGACCCAAAGACGATGGGAAAGGGATCCATCGCAGCTCTTTCTGTTCTTGTCGATTCCTCGGCCAAAATGGTGTCGTGAACTGATCCTTGCTCTGGCCACGGACCCAGGAAAACATTATGCCTGCATCCTTGGCAGGGAACTGCCAGTCTGGTGCGGCTGTGCTGAAATCAAGGACTGGAGGCTGTAGTCTGGCAATAGCGTCAATGACTTTTACCTGTTCTTGCTCGAGCTTCAGGGTCATGGTGTCCGCTTTGTCCTTCAGGAGGAGGTTGAATTGCTCATTGAATCTGGATTCGTTCTCGGATATTGGGCTTGAGGCTGATGCTCCTGGGAGATTCTTCAAGGAAAACTCTACGGTATCGCGTAGTATGTTTCGAAAGGCATCCTCCTCTTCGTCTCTGGAAATAGACTCGTCGGACCTTGGCAATATCGGAACTTCCATGACCGGCGCCACGTCTCTACGTCGAGGTGTCTCAATTTCGAAGCTGGGTGTGTCTGAGGGAATGCCAAGGATATCAGATGATGAAACATCGGGGAGATCACTCTCATCGTAAGCTTTGGCTAGGTTATTTCGAGATTGCTCGAGATCCTCGTTCAGGAGGCTTGCTGGATCTGAGAACTGGTGTATCTCGCAAACATCAGCATCCGGAATAAAGAACTCTACCTCGTCGATATCATCAAGCGGTAATGCGATTAATGGTGGTGTCATGGCTTCGGCCCGTTCCTAGTCGACAAAGCTTAGCAGAGGCCAGAACGCGTTGTGTGGCCATGTGTTTTTACCATAGTTGGGCCCATCTCCATGTCGATCAATTTCTCGAGGTCTCTTCGGGAAAAATCCACATAAATCGACTCGGCAACGTGTGCAAGGTCTTCTTCGGTGTAGTCGAGCTCATCCGGCTCTGCACCCCTGGCAAGCTGATTGTGGAAATGTACCGCTGAGGGTGGAAGGCTGAGACCTTCGTCCGTTGAGTCATCGACAGGCTCGCGAGGCAGCGTGTTTGGTTTGCGGAAGAAATCAAAACACTTGGTTTCGGCTATGGCGCGGGCCAGGGCTTTTTGGTCGTGTCTAGGGTCGCTTCTCAAAGATGGTAGTTCGAGTCTCGATACAGCATGTGAGAATCGAGTGAGTGGTATGGTGGCTTCCATAGATAGCTTGAAGATGTCTTCCGGAATGAACACTTGGATGGACTTTGCAAGAATATCATCAGCCTCTGGGTTCTGTGTATCAGTCTCGGAAGCGAAGATGGGTTCCGGAATCGAGAAGCAAGGTAGTCCGGGAGAATCTTCAAGGTCAGGATTATATTTGATACATGGTAAGTCTTGTGAGCTTTCAGCAACGAGCTCTGGATGTGCGGGCATATGCATCTTGTGGCTGATGAACAGTTGCTGGGCCAGTGCATATTCTGCCGGTCCAAGGGCTTCGGTAGCCATGACGTGCGACTATGTCTGTCTTCTCGGTAGAAGGGCGTACGTAGTCTGGTGGATCGAGGAAATGTGATTCTAGATCCGAGGATGCCGACAACAGTGGAAGCATAAGATCAGAGCTAAACCTCGGGGTCGTATATAGCCAGGCAATGATGACGTGGGGTGCCAATCTTTGGCGATGCGAGGATCAAACTTTTGGCCAAAATTGAGGAGATGGAACGAAAAACTTTTTAGCGTTCTCTGTGCGATCTACACGGATGTCAACGCCCAGGGAGGTCCCTCGCACTCCTGCCTCAAGAGTACCTTAGCAGGTGTCGTTCCAAAGTCCACCGATGGCCCCCACTCCCGTTCATTGCCACGCCTGCCACTCGAAGTTGCAGCTCTGGGGTACGTACTCTTTCCTACCAACCTAACAGGATATAACGGGAAGGAACTCGGGAGACTGTGACGACTGGTCGGTCCTGCCGGCTGACCGGCGGCTGACCGGATCCGGCGTGGGGCCGCGCTAGGTCCGACTGCAGTTTGCTGTGCCATCTGGAAACATGAACCCGACCGTAAGTAAGTACAGGGAAAGAGTAGCTCTGGGGCCACGTCGAGAACTCAGTTGGTGCGCTGCTAGAACTTAAACTCGGCGGCCGAGCGAGGCGCGGTCTCTGGACTGCGCGACCCAAACCCTCCTACAAGATCAAAGCATGTGGGCTTGGGCTTTCAATAACTTCCGATGCCCTTCGGAGCTAATCACGGATCGCCGCCGCCGGAGCTGCCCGCAGGACCCGCTTATTCCCCCCCCTCCTTCGAGGGGTACCGTGCAACGGCCACTAACAATCACGCCAGCGGTGTGCTTGTTTTAGGTGAGAACTTCCCCGAGGCCACTCGGCTCGGGGGTGGAGATTGGGGTTCAAACATCGGATGATTAGTGGGCTACAGTATGCCATAGGGGGAAACTGGAGACCAACGTAACATTACAGCGGTTCAGGTTCCCATGTTTGAGGTTGTGCAGGGCGGCTGAGTAAGGCTTTGATGGGGAAGCCGGAGGAAGGTGGATGCGGGCCATCAGTGCGGAGAGAGCAGGTGTCTGCTTCCTGTTTAGAAGTATAAAACCACCTCTGACGGCCAGTCAATTTGTTTATCTTGATACCCGGCTATTCCCTTTGAGTCTCTTCACATCCAGGTTTTCATTCTGCAATTTCAACACGTTGATCTGGGCTTTTAGCAGGCAACATGGCAACTACTTTGGGGTCCAAAAAATCTATCCGCATCGGCGTCATGCTGGAAGCCGTGCAGCTGAGCGATATCATGGGCATCGACCTCTTTGGCAATCTCTCGCGCCAATACTTCAACAAAGTCAAGGACTTTGACCCGGAATTTTCACAATGGGTTGACCACCCGGTCGACACCACGTTCTACTTCGTCTCCTCCACCCTGGAGCCAGCCGAAATGACACCCGGGCTTAAGTTCGTCCCCAACATCACCTACGACGACTGCCCCAGAGACCTGGACGTCGTCCTCATCGGCGGCCCGCTTCTGGATCACCGCCCGCCTTCTGCCGACCGCTTCATGAAAGAAGCCTACCCCAAGACCAGAGTCTGGTTGACGACGTGCATCGGTAGCCCGTGGTTGGCTAGCGCTGGGGTGTTGAAGGGCAAGAAGTGCACGACAAACCGCGAGTTCTTGCAGATTGCGAGGCAGATTCACCCCGAGACTGAATGGCTCGACCAAAGGTGGGTTGTCGAGGAGAAGGAGTATGATGGCGAGGGGAAGGGCGAGCTCTGGACAGGAGGTGGAGCTGGCGCTGGTGAGACTCACTTTTCTTTGGTCCCCTCAATCACTGGCTGTCGATGCTTACATGTCTACAGGTCTTTCAATGATCATCACGTATTTGAACAAGAACTTTGATCCTGGATTCGTACAAAAATTGGCCCTCGAAGCCATCTCTTTCGAAGAGTTGGCGTTGAACCAGTTTTACAAGACTTCTAGATGAATGCAGTTTGAGGAATCGACCAAGTAGTATTTATGAGTCTTACGAATGAAAACTACATCGCACACCTATTTGCAAAGCCAGATGAAGTTCAATTGTGTCGAGGACAGGTTGCTCACGCGTCCACATAACGAATGATGAACTCTGGGGAATCGTACCGATCCCAACTCTCCGGCAGGGTTCTATCCGCCATGATCTTCAGAGCGAAAATACTGAGCTGATACCTGCCGGCCGGCACCCAAGACCCATCCGCCAAGCTGCCATCCCAAGGGCTCGTCCAGCCAATTGGTCTAACATAAGTCATTGGATACCCAGCCACGTTTCCAAGGCTCACCACGCCGAGGCCATTGTCCTTTGCATCCGGGTTCGGCGCAGAACCCGGCGACGCGACTGGCACGGCTTCGAGACGAACTTCGGAGCTTCCCATGACCAGCCACAGCAACTGGCTCGGAAGAGCTCCGAGGGGAAGCACGAGGTCCGAGGTATTGGCCAAAGGCAGGGCCCAGTCGGGATGTGCAGCTGGAGCGGGGAACTGGAACGTGGAGTTGGCGGCCACATCCGGATTCCTCTGATCGTCGCTGCGAGTGAAGATTAGACGTTGTGAAGCTAGGACTGTGACATTCTTCATCGACCCCGCGACGCCAATATAAGGGACCGAGAGCGCGATCTCGCCGTCGCCATTGGTGCCGTTGAGAGTGACCCATCCAGAGTACAGCGGGAGAGCCGCCGCATCCAAGCCTTTGGGAGGAACCACGCTGATGCGGACTTCGCCAGTGGCGTTGGGCTCCAGGCTGAAGCTGGAGGGTTCAAAGGTCAGAGTCGCGTACGTCGTAAACAGCTCGGGGGAGCTTTGACGATAGATGTCGCTGAGAGTGGTGGCAGTCAAGGCCGGGTTGTGGGACACGTTGTACGTTGCCGTTGTGTCTCCGACATTGGTCACGGTGAAGGTGGTCTCGGAGATGAAGTTGTCGGTATCGTTGAATGATAGACCAGCGACGCTGAGAACGGATGTCGCGTAGGCTGCATCGTATGCCTGGACCAAGCCGGCTCCCTGTTGCGCCACGGAACCGAGACCGGCATCGACGTGGTCAGTATCATAGTCCTGCGACAGGTTCGGCTTTGCGGTCGAAGCAAGTAATCTCTTGATCAGGTCTGGATCTATGGTGCCCCGTGCCTATTCAGTGTAAGTCGAGTTGTCCGAGACAAGGTGAGGCGTAACCTCCATACAACACCAACGACAGTATGAGGGAACCTACCTGAGATATAAGGGCCACAATACTGGCAACAAGAGGAGTCGACATGGATGTACCAGACGCCTCGGCGTACTCACCAAGTGCCACAGGCCACGTGCTCAAGATACCGGCACCGGGGGCACCGAAGCTCGGCGCAAGATTGAGCTCAAAGGTAGGGCCCCAGCTCGTGAAGGCCGAAACTTTTCCCTCACTATCCGCTCCCTTACTCTGGTAGGAGGAGATGGACATCACGCCGTCGCCGGTGCTCGGTGTGCTGATGCCAAACAGGCCCTCCGTGCCACCGACCTCGTTACCTGCGGCGAAAGTGCAGGGAACGCCCGCGGCCACGATCCGCGAGACAGCCACGGCAAAAGCCTCGCCGGCCCACCCACTGGGCCCGCCGATGGAACCTGTGATGATGTCGCTGCCGTCCTCGAAGGCCTTGATCACGCCGGCGAGCAGGACGTCGCCGTTACCATTCCCATTGCAGGCAAAAACCCGGTACATGCCCAGCTTCACGCCGGGAGCCGCACCGGTGAAGCCCATGGGGTTTTCCTGCGCCGCGATGATGCCGGCGACGTGCGTGCCGTGGCCGATGCAGTTCTCAAAGGGGTCCGCGTCGGGGACGGGCGTGTTCGTACCGTCGTAGGCGTCGCCCACGAGGTCGTAACCGAATTCGACGAGACAGCCCGGGCCGAAACACCCGCCCAGGGCAGGGTGGGTGTAGTCGATGCCGGTGTCGACGATGCCGATCTTGAGGCCCTTGCCGATGAAGCCCTTGGCGCGGAGCTTGTCGACTTGGGTCATGACGTGAGGGGGCCAGGTGTCGGTGGAGTTGAATTGGCGTTTGTATTTTGACGAGGTCTTGTCTTTGCCGGTCCAGGCGATGTCCAGCTCGGGCACGCTGATGAGCGGGACGGGCCAGATTTTCTTGACTTGCGGGAGTCTGGCAATCGTCTGGGCTGTCTCATTGTTGGAGCCTTCGACGTGGATAGAGACGCCCTTAAAGATCTTGGACTGGAGGTTGAGACGCTGCGAGACCTTGGCCAGGCCGGTTTCTGCCTCGAGCTGACTGATGAATCCGCTGCCATCCTGCTACACGTTAGAAAGCTTGCCAACGATTATTGATCAAAGTTGGCTTACTGACCTGATCGTCGGCAAACTCGACAATAAAGGCACCAGGTATGTTGATCTTCTCAAAGACTGGCGTTACCTCATCTCTCTTCGCACCCGATGCAGAGGATAAGGCCACGATGCCGGCCAATGCCGCAAGCGACGCTTTCAAGGTGACCATGGTGAACTGATTGCCTTGGCTGTAAAGAACCTCAAAGTCCTGTAGTCCAGGCTTATGAGGGAGCCGAATCACATTGTACCTGCATTATATGCTGCTTTATATGCTTGCAGCTCGAACGATATGATGGGCGCGCTTCGAGAGGTAGCTAGCCCATGGTCATCAACGTCGCATTCGACACTATCGCGATGTTGTGATGAGGGGGACCACAGTTCTCCACCAAAAATCGCCCAAATTGACATGCAGATAGAAGAAGCGACTCAAGGGCGGGGCAACATGAGCTGACTGAGAGCGATTGAGCAAGATAAGACAGTGCACAAACATCGGTTTCGTACACAACGGGGGTGTGGAGTGGGGGGGAACCACTGTTTCCCACAAAAAAGCCCCCAAATGAGAGGGGGAAAAAAAAAGGGCGAGAAAGGGGGGGGGAAAAGGGGGGGTGGGGGGGGGTTTTTGAAAAAAAAGGGGGGGAGGGGGGGGTTGGGGGTTTTTTTGCGGGTTTAAACCCAACAAAAAGGGGGCCCCCCCCCCCCCCCCCCCCCCTTCG